CTTCAACTCCATTGACAGTCCCTTATATTATATATATATATAAATATGTATATATACATACATATATATCGATTCAAAATTTTACCATCAGTCTCTCAAAATTTTTCTTTTTAAGTCTCCATAATCAACTTTTATTGTCACCTCTCTTCTCGACCACACCAGAAGACCAACAGGAGAGAGCACAAGCCCACTCACAGCAGCGATACAGTTTTAACCCACATCCTGGAACAAACCATATATAATCAGTCTAAGCACCACTCCTTTTAGAGTCAACTGAAACTATGATATTCTGTTTGAGGAATGGAATACGCAGGAGATTTCCGGAAACCATGAACCACTACCTTACCACCCCGAGGTGAGCACAAAATAATCGGCTGGACTTATTTATCACGTACTGTTGAAGTTCCGCTTGGAAATTTTTTTTGCCAGTAATTTTCAATAAAATTGTGTTATATGTTATCTAGATTGATGGAAATTAACACTTTTGGCTAGTTATGTTGGTGTCCGCGTCATGTGATCTGAACGCGACACACTTTTAGCATAATGGTTGCAATGATTAGTGTTTCAGGTGAACTGTATCAAAATATCGATGTAATCAGGAAGATAGGATAATTAGAGGGTAATGCCATTTACACAAATCGTTTACTCCATGTAGAGGCTTCACCTTTCGGCATAGTATCATTCAATGAAGACTTCATGTCTCGGGATATTAACTCAGCCTATTTTCATATAAAGAACAGTTTTTTGACAAAATAATTCTCTCACTTCTTGGAAATCATCTGCAAATGCTATCAGAATCGTTTGTGAGAACCCAATTTATCATTTAGATGTGCTTTTCACTCTATCTGTGGTTGGACTGGAAGTATGGTAAGTTGAAAGGTTATCTCTATGTGGATTTCATATATATTGGCACTGATTGGTGCAGTGTGCTATGGGTTATGTGAGTTAAATGTACAAAAATATCTCAACTTTAATAACATTGTGCCATTGTCCAGTTAGCTGAGTGATAGGATAACAAACGAAGGTGGTTGTCATGACTATTGCAAGTACAATGCAGTGGAGAAGGCAATTACTCATTCCACTTAATGCATTAATTCATTACACGGTATGATTATACGCATAAATCGTGGCGATTATGAGAACTGAATCTATTCAGCCTTATTATCATCATTATGAATCTATTGTATGTTATACAATTTCCACTGACAGTGTATACCTAATGCTGCGATATTTTTAATCACCAATAGTGGAGATAAATTTCTCCTGATATTTCCATTTACAAAAAGCAGTACAGATGCGGTATGACGATTGGATTTTCTAGGTTGCTTTATATGATATTATTATCCTCATCAACACAACAGGTCTGTGTATTTTATAATAGTTTAAGTGTTTCTGTATGTTGTTAACACTGTGCATAGCTGTTTAGAGTTGGGTCATGTTCAGCTTATATTTGATGGCCATAGTCTCCTAAATGCGAGAAAGTGGTTTCTGTAGGATTCACAAGACCTTTTGGACTATACATTACTGAGATTGTGGATTAATTTCTAGGTTACACATTTGCAATACTTCATTTCATGTAAAAGTATTTAGTGTGAAGTTGATCTGCAAGTAAGCTTGATGAGAGAATGACGCCTCAATAGTATGGATGTTTCGGAGATTGTCTTGAACTTTGCGTATAATCCTCTAATGCTGGAAAACACATGATGTCTATTTATGTATACGGCGTCAACATAAAAACCAGCTGTAGACTACAAATACACTTATCTGCATGAGATATTACTTAGTACTAACCGAGTCAGTGTATTCATAGTGTATGCTAATATGTAGAATTATCTCTTATAACTTCATGTTGCGCTAGTTCTTACATGTACTTTATTTTCTCCAGGTATACGGAGGTTGTCGAATATGAAATCAGCGGAAGTATCATTCGGTCAGACTAACGTTAATATCCTTCATCAGAATTTTCTCTTGTAAATTTATCAAATGTTTAATATACTCTTGATTTCTTCCTGTAGACTTTCTCAATTCCTTGATATACTATGTGCTTTTGTAATAAGTGAATCACGAATAAAAAAACGCTAAGCTTAGTCAGTAGGATGAAGATTTACTGTAGTATTATGAGACTGTTACTTTAGTCATTAATAGGATTTCGTTTCTGTTTCCACACAATAGCACACTGTGAATGCGAAATGAGATTTAGCAAGTTGAATAATAATTCTGTACTGTTCGATACTCTAAAGTTGCCTTATCTAGCCAGTTGCAAGTCTGTATACTGTTAAACGCCAAGTATGTAGTACAAGTAAATGTAGTAACTTAGGCTTGATAGCTACTGTATTAATCTATTAATTTCCAGTGACAGCATCAAATAGACTGTTCAACTGACAATGAGCTAAGAAACAATTTTTATTTATTTCTAATATGCCCTTGAATCACAGGATGTTAACTTATATCCATCATTTCTATGATCAACAACTGCGGTATTTGCATATCTACTTTATGGATATTAAATAACTTACGCCTTTATGCATGTAATTACCTCCAGTATTCCCTATTCATTTGATGTGTGTACACTAAACAAGTCTTTCACAAATTCTCCCACAAATGCCAAGGTTTATGGTGTCACAGGTGTTAGTAATAATAACAATATTTTTATTTCTGTAACAGAAACCAGCCATTTTTACAGGCATGAACATATGTACACTTATGAAAACTTATAGAATATATAATATGATTTGTTAATTTAGAAATAAGTCGAATACTTGTAAATGTGAGAGAAACATGTAAAATGAAGTGTACAAATAAGGAAATAGATATAGCGTCAAATCTAAACTGTGATTGAAAAAAATACATGTCAATTTCACGCGGGAATCATAAATGATTGCGTTAGTTGGGAAGGTAAGTAGCATTTCTGTACAGGTGCTGACGTGATACATAAGAGATGCAGAATAAACAATAATTATCAGTAAATCATTCAGAAAGAGTTTAAAAGTCTATTAAATTTTAAATTCACCTGTAAGTACATCATATTTGTGACATTTCCAGTTGTTTATGAGACCGACTTTGAACTTGTCAGCAGATTTTATAATACCGATGATCCCGTTATTCACCAGATGAGCTAGCAATATCAAGAATAAGTAGAGAATTGCAGCGCTGTATCAGTACCTTCGTTGAAAGCAGCGTCGGTGGCACAGTGGTTAGGACTCTCGCCGACCATGGACATGGTCCGAGGTTCGAGCCCACGCCGACGCACACCTGATATCTATGGTTGGCCTGCGAATTTTGGGCTACCGATATCCACGCTGAAAATTCCATACTTGTACCAAAAATATGGTGTGGAGTCAAGCTGTAATCAAAAATAAAAAAAATGTTTAAAAAGAGAAGACACAAGTAAACCGGCAGACAGGTGCAGAAGAATATAAAAGGTGTTAATAATTCAAAATATATAACAGGCATGGGGTTCATCATTCTTTCTATTGTTTTCTTTTCAAGAAATATTATTTTCCCGATATTTTACAGTCTTTTCTGCGAACAATTAGTTTAAAGTGAAAGACAGGTGATAATTTCCCCTACATACGAGGTTTAAAAGGAGTTAAACACAAAAGTCAGAGTGCGTGAGCTATGTAAAAGCAAAGCGAGGGCCTAGTAATATAGGGTTTTCTGAAGTATACAGTTCGGTGTCCTTCTGAAGTAGCTGACTCATACCATTTACTTTCATTCGGGAGTTTGCATTTAAACTTCGGCTCTAGGCAATTTTCAACTTCTATTTCTTTTTTTCATTATTTTTTTAAATTTTTACATTTTTATTTATTCCCATTTTGCAGAATAGTTGCTTCCTTGGTTTCAATGCAAATGACGTATATACGAGCTGAGGAAAAGTTTCTCTTGCTTAATCTTCAACCTTCACTTGAAGCCTTTAGCGATCCCAAACAATTCTCCTATAAACACAGTAGGAGTACTGTAGATGCAGTTGCAGTCTTGCAACACAACATTTTCTGCAGTATAGACAGTGGGGCTAAATTCGCTGCACCTTCCTAGATTACACATCCGCTCTCGACTCAGTACCTAGAGATATTCTGTTAGACAAGCTTGCTGAAACTCAAACTGAGTGTTGGATTGTTAGATGGCTTCATTCTTATTTATCAGGGATAAAGCAGTACACTGTGGGTCAGGGGGAAGTCGTCCTCGCTACCTAATCGTATCAACGGATGTTTTGCCAAAAAAAAGAAGACTACTGGTTCAAGGAAAATTTATTTAGGGTTTTTTAAAGATCATGGACATCCGTGTTTATAGTCACGGAAAAATCACAACTTCGAGGAAACCGCCGGTTGTAGATTACAACCCGAAACGTCATTCTTCCTAATTAATGTCTTACCTTTAACTGGGATAGTTCGTACAATCACCAGATCATCGTATTTTATCCGCTTTGCAACACGTCGAATGAATGTTAACACTGGCTCTATAACGGCCCGTCGTAGTTTGTGTATTAGAAAATAGTACATTAAGCAATAATAAGCATAAGTAACACATACCCTCAAGGATTCCAGTTACTTTTAGTTCCCAAAAACACACACAAGCACATCAGATCCATGTTTTTCGTGCGGCTCAACCTTGTTTGACTTGGATTCCCTCACAGTATATGTTTATTTTTCAATGATAGCAGACACACTGATGGTATATTCACATCCTTAAAAAACTTCAAAGCTTTTTCAACTTCAGCCTAGGTTCTAAATTCTCCAGGATTATGTTCTTTGAAAACCTTGCTAATACCAACTTTGACCGTGCTCTCCTCACCAGATTTACTGGTAAATTGTTGCATGCTGTAGACATGAACGTGAGAGACATAAGTTTTCCAGATTTCTACATGTTAAATAACCAAATGAGCCAGCAACAAAAACGGCAACCAACAAATGGACTGGAGGCAACTGCTTCTGCCAACCGGGCATCTTCATGTGCATAACTTCCGAAACTTCTACACAATACTAATTCATAAATAAAAACAGCTAAAACACTGAAAGCCGCATGAACTGAAACAATTAATATGAAATGAATGCACTGACCTGGCAGTGAAAACTTTTGAAACCAAAGAAATAATTAATTTTAACAGCAATGGAAACAAAAAATAAGGTAAAACGCAACAATGAGCTTGATTAACATTTGCCGATAGAACTCATGTTGGACATTGGAAAGCGGCGCTTTGCAAGCGTGCGCCACCGACAGGTATGTTTTAATGTAAAGACTACAACGGAACACAGAAACTCTTCCAACGTTTTTTCTGCTGCTTTTGGTACTGCTGTGCGCACATATTGGCACGGGACTGAGTAGTCTAATAATGATCATTTGTCAAGTGGGACGATTGAGACAGAACTGTACTTCTTATGGTCTGTTTTCAAACCGCAAAGTTCGGGAGTCAGTGTGAATGCTGTGTTCTTGATACCCTTAGGGTTTTGACACTACACAAACTTGTGATTTCCTACCACATATCGACCGCGTGGACTCTTAACACGAAATATTTCGTTTAAAATTCACTCACTTTTTGATTCAGATTCAGATGATAAGGATAGAAGGCTCTTGTGGCCTGTGTTAATCCTTGCAAAGTATATCTCTGCAGAGATCTAACTTATCTTTGAAAGCGTTCACCGATGGAGCTGATACTACTGAGTCAGGTAAGGAGTTCCAATCGCTGACCACTCTGTGAGAGAATCTAAATTCTGCACGTATATTAAGAGTTCCCTTAGAATTGTGTGATTTGCAGGTAAAATCTAGCTAGCATTTCATTGAGGCGAATTGCAGAGTCGTCTAGGCAAAAAATATCGGAAGCACAGCCTAACGTGGAACAAGGCCGGCCGGAGCTGTAATAGGGGCCTCCATGACAGCCCTGAACATTCTGCAATACCTCGAAGTCTGCTTGCTGGGAACTCCGTGCACATATGAATTCCGGACCTTTTGGTAACATAAGCTTTTCAGTTTCAGCTTACAGTGAACTGCACACAACTTGGCAAGTAAGTCATAAGCATAAATCTGCGTCCTACGTTGTTTGATGCTCGTTCAACTCGAGGGTTCTAATGATTAAGCATATGTCTGGTTAATAACGATTGCATTGATCGACATTAGGACCTTCCTGGTACATCGAAGGAGTGCTTCCGCAAAGTTTTGCAGTATGTGTTAGTCAGTGACGAAATCTACCCTGAATTTGCTTAAATCTCCGCAAACCCAACATTTGAAAATATCTTGAATTCTGATATTTATTTAGTATCATGATTGTTCGTAAGTAAGTAAATATGTCCGCTTTCAGTTTAATCGCCTAAGTAGAACAGGCTTGACAATTACTAAGGCTGTAGAATTTAGAGTACAATAATAATTTACTTGAGGGATCAGTTGCTTAGTCGGGAAATTCTTCCACCAATCATTTTTCCTCACTATTCTGTTGCCCATAGGTTATTATCCTGTTTCCTTCTACTTTTAACGTCAATAAAAGTTTGGCGTCTATTTCTGCCTTCAAGGGGCCAGTAGAGTTAGGTGGGTTAATCGAGATTCTATTAATACCCTAGATTTAATTTTTTACTTTCGTTGACCATTTGTAATTCCCCATTGTTTTCACAATGTAGTTTATTTTCAGTGTATAGGAAAAAATATACTGCGTGGTGACCATAACTCTAAGAAAAATGAATGTCACCCGAAGCCCTGCAATATTATGAATAATTCAGATATGCACTTGGTAGGGCACTCAGTAAACTTTCAACTCTTACAGAGATTAGAAGACTTTAAAAGTGAAGTGAAATAAAGCAGCAGTTGTCTTTCACAATACAGAAATATGCACAGCGTCTAAGATGTTGCAGCGTTTGATTAGCGTTAAGACATGGTATTCTAAAATTAGATTAACTAATATTCTAATACCTAACTATTTATTTATTTAACCTGCATACTCTAAAGATGAGTAAAGCTGTTACGCCATTTTCCTCGAGAAACTGTATTGTGGTGTATTCTAATTTAAATATGAGATACTTCATTTGTATTTTATTCGTCGCTTTGTTGCCAGTGTCAGGTATCAAAATATAATACGTTATGAGTGGTCCCCTAATTTTAAAGTCGTTCATTTCCCTTCAGGGTTAGTTTTCCCTATTTAAAATAAAATCGGAGTGCATCGTTAGTAAACTATTTTCTCCTTATTTTAAATTTATACAAGTAAAAATCCTCGGGAAATTTAGGCAATATTAACACGTTAGTTTCCTTTTTGTGTTTATTTATCAAGATATTACAGTTTCAAAGCCGCAATGCTTAGATAAATTTATATTATGTTATAATAATATTTGTAACTGTTCTCAGATCTCCGCATTTATTCCTTCCATCTACTTTAAAGGACTGTAGGACAGCTCAAAAGCCTGCATTTTCTGCTTGAAACTGTAACATCACCACAAGCTTCTCGGTTTTCTTTTAAGTACTAGTCAAAATGCTTTCAAGAAAATGCAACAAAGCTAGATATTCTACAGATCCAAATGGGAAACTTTGGGCTGACAATCCGGACAATTTTGGCAGGAAAATGTTACAGAAAATGGGTTGGGAGCCTGGGAAAGGTTTAGGGAAAAATAATAGCGGAATCACTGCACCTATAAAGGTAAACATACTATCCTAATTTCACAGTGTTTTGTTTAGGCTTCCACTCAAAAAGGCAAACGAGGACTAGGTTTAAAGTCAGATTTCTCTTTGGGAATCAGACAAATTGATGACTATGCAAATCTTTTACGGGCGTTAAACAAATCAAACAGCAGTCCTGATAAGACGAATTCAATTGGGGTATGCTTATCAACGAAGTCACGAAGAGGTATGAAGATGATACGTGCTAAAGATGCATCAAAATATAATGAAAAAGACCTATCAGTTGTTTTGGGATATGCAAAATCACATGTGTCGGAGGAAAAGGTTTCATCCAGTGCATCTATAAATAACTCCGATGCTCAGTTTATCACGATAACAAGTTCACTGTCTACATCAGAATACTTTGAAAAAGCCAAGAAACGTAAACATCAAAGGGTAAGACAAAACTGTACCTGATTCTTCTGTTTTCAGCCAGGTATTTTAAAACCATTGGATGTGATATCAGCTGTAACGCGTAATGATGTTCCACTAGTGAATCAGTCAGGAAAACTAGAAACCTCGGATTTACGTGTAAATAATTGTGACAATCAGCTTGCTACCTCAGGGGAAATCTGTGAAAACCAACAGCCAGAAGATAGTGAGCTCCCTGAAAAGTTGTCAGTTGAAGATGAATGTAATGTGTAATTGTTAGGTAACCTAAAATTATATGTAGATATCAATCGGAAACCAAAAATCGTCGAAACTATAAACGCAGGGGAGAGTAAGTTTAACTGAATATTTATTCACTTTTGTAGATATTATTAACTCAGTATTCATTCAGTCCAACTTGCTATCGATTCCAGGATATTGTCATTACTGAATATTTGTACATACAATTTGTGATAATTATAACAGTGTATTATATTCATATCTCACTACATAACTGGGTTTATAACGTGTTGTCCGCCATCATCAGGATAAGTAGTTAATCCGTTGTTATCATAACCAAAGAGTACATTGTAGCAGTATTCTGTTAGTCAATGCCGTGTTTAGTTTCCTTCAAACTATCAAAAAACCTTAACAAAACTAATACTTGAAAATGCCTTAAGGCTTAATTGTCTCAATACTTTTTCATTGCTAGCCAGTTATGCATCACTGTAAGCAGTTTCTTGTAACAAATCAACAGACTTTTATAACATCCATTCTTTTTTATGAAGTATGTAACTCAAATTTGTGTCCGTAGCAGGTGGGAAAGAAGCTCCCAATACAAGTTTCGTACCTGTAATAAACAACCAACAACAGGGCATCACAAATTTTAACTAACATTATTTTGTCTCAATCATTCAAACTCAGAATTTGAGAGTTACTATGACACTAGTTTGTATGGACGCAAACTTTTCAGTTAAAAGAAAATGATCCTGTAGATGTCAGAGGTCGAGAAAACGCCATTCTAGATCTAACTGTAAGGAATTGGACTCTGTCTACTCTGATTATAACATATAGACAAACATTTTGTTATTTTCACGAAGTTCATGTGGTAACAATAATCAAGTACATGGATGGACTGTTATTCACAAGGATAATTTCCCGTTGTTATTGCTTCCATGTGATGAAATTTACTAACAACTGTATGGAAGATAATACTGTAAAAGCGTGTCGGCAGTTAAATAGAAAATCACCATCAAAACTGGTAAACTTTGGCTTCTTTAGGAAAACATCGACAAAACTTTTCTGCAAACGTTTAGAAGGCGTAGTTGGACAGGATTTCTAAACAGCGACAGTATTTTGTGCAGAATGCCAAGCAATCAGCCTCAATTGTAGTGATCAACAGTATTCAGTGAGGCACTCATTTAGATTAGAACGCATAAACAAATGCATAGACTAAATACCTATTAAATGAGGAATATGAATGTACGTCAAACAAAATTCAGTTAAATATAAACTAAAAAGGAAGTGTCGTCGCATATTACTGAAAGAGGGTATCAGCTACGGCCTTGTGGAACATATGTTCTGTTATTACATACGAGGTCTACGGTAACTGTAATGTTTAGATGTTCAGCTTTGCTCGACTTGAGTTGCACATGTTACCTTAAGGTAGATGGATCAGTGATTTTGTTCTACGTGGAACAACTGTAACTGTCACCCAAATTATTCCACTTCGAACTTTAGCTATCTTAGAATATTAACGGTTTCTCCTTTCAGAAATCCTGGACTTCCTCTCAGGTGGATTCCAAACAGTTAGTTCATTTTATAGGTTTCGACAGCAAAATCAATATTTTATTTATCGTAATTAAGTATTACATTTCAAATAATCTAATCATATGTGCACTTGTCATATATACGTATTAAAAAATAAAGACGAGTTGAGGCATAGATCAAATAAGAAAGCTAATTTAGTTACAGGATTTCATCATGAGTTGATATCGATTGGGGAACCATTGGAAAACCTGGGAGTACTGGACAGACTTAAAAATAACACAGACGATCAACAAAACGAAGTAGTGATAATAGGATACATAACAGAATTCACCAAGGAAGGTTTAGTTCGATAGTAAGTTGTTTATGAACTCCGAGGTGGTGTAAGTCCCGTTTGAGTAGCTTCCTCTCTGTGTATGCGTCAGCATATGCGAACGTTTAAATTGATAATTGTAATAAGACGTACCATCGTCTTTCACTTTTTGTCAGTGATCCGGATCTTGACTGCATCAGATGTCACTTGATATCAGAATTAAGTCGTTTGCTGAGTACTAGACTACTTCGTTCAATCATGTGCGAGATCTTAACTACTGCGTCCATGGTCGCAGGGTGGACGGTAATTTTTTATGCTCTCGCCCATGAAATTCTTTGCAAAATCGTGAGGGGTCTCATATTTTTGAGAGCGAAAGGAGACAGGAACCAACTGGAAGCCACGACTTGCTTGTATGATACCAAATAAGTCACCAACAAAACAACATTAACAGTAGTACAACCCTTGTTACGATACAACTAAGAAATCAGTTGAAAAAGTATATTTAATAGAAAATATTGCTGAAATCGATATGGATGTATGTTAGTTTTACAAGGGTCAAATGGTATTTTAGCTTTTGTCAAGTTCTACGTGTTTCAGATTCTGAATAGAACCATCATTTGTCATAACGAAATCATCCTCTACTCTCATACCGATGCCCATGAACTCCTTAGATATGCCTAAGTTAGCCAGATCACTCCTGAAATATATACCTGGTTCTAAAGGAAAGACCACACCCGCTTGAAGACGTCTCGTGTATGGTATTGTTGGAGTATCATGCACATCCAGGCCAAGGTAATGCCCGACATGGTGTGGACAAACTTTTTGCGCCACCTTAATTACAAAAATAAGTATTTAATTAGTGATTGTATAGCTGGACAAAAATAATAAAAACATCTCTATATTATTTCAACAAGCAGACCTTACCATTTATATTCAAGTTTATCAAATATTATTTAAGTGCGTAGGGTTGCTTTGTCACACGCATAGTAGATTCACAAAATAAAGCAACCCAGTGTTTTTTGTAAGATACACTCACTTTTCACTAATGCAGTAGGATAAGACCAGCTACGCGTGTTAAGCATCATTATAAATTCATTAAAAATAAAAGTAGGACATTTGGATTTGCAGTCACACGTAAATTCCACATGAATATTTTCAACACAGATGGATTGAGCACTCTAAGGAGGACTCGTGAGTGATGTCGCGCGCCAGGATTTCGAGTGGAACGCGAGTTGTAAGTGACGAGTTGGACGTCCAAGGATGAAAGCTTAAGAGAACTCGTAGAACTAGAAGACAGAATGAAGAAATGCTGTAGTCCCACTTGGAACCAAAAGGAATAATAGTGAGTGTAGTAGTTTTTCTCACCACTAATAAGTTAGAACGCCTCAGTGCGCTTTACCCTTATTTCAAAATCGCAAACGCACACGAAATACATAAAAGCACTTAATACAAAAAACAGCGTACAGATGATTTCAAAGCAATATCTCTCACCAGCGAACTTCGTGATTTACATATTAATCGAGTGGGTCGCGTCAAATGTTCGTTAGTTATTAAATGTGCTTGATTAGGAGGGTAGTTGATTAAATCCAACTGAAGAGAAGCGATATCGCCGTAGTTTGCTTATTAAAAAAATAATAATGAACACATGAAGTGAACAGAAACATGTCACGGTAAATCAAGAGGTTTCGTCAAAACTACGTGCTCAATGGTCAACTTTATTTTACTTGTTTAATACTCTTCCGCTTCCAGTGGATAGACTGAACGTTTCAAAACGAACGGTCTCCAAAGTTGACTTACCTCTGTCTTTTCTCATAGTGTATGAGAGAAACTGAATACAATTAAACCATGATTGTACTAGTTCTTGGAAAATACAGATCACATTACGAAGACGGAAACTACATTGATTGAATTAATTACCAGATAAGCGGGTTCTTATAAAACATCAACTTTGGTTGATCTGATAGCTTACTAACCGATCAGCGTGGAACACGGCACAAAAAAGTACCAATTAATTTGTTACATCTTGAAGCAGTATACGGAAAAGAAAGGAGCAAAAATAGAATCATACTATTTTTGTAATACACTTAGCTGGTATTTATTGAAATGTATTTTTACTTTGTGATGTGTAAAATTTCAAAAATATGGGGAAAAGTTATCCCTTTGAAAGCGGTAAAGCGTAAAACTACTGAGTAGAAGTTACAGACGAGTGTATTACTATGACAGTAGACAAAAATCGGTAAACATAAAAGAGACATCAACTACACAATATGTCTATTAGTAAGTTAGAGGCATCTTTCAGTCTTGACTCCAACTGATTTACTTTTCTTGTAAGCTTTTAGTCAAGGTGAAGGTTGAATGCAATACAACTCGGCAGTCACGTTTAGGATTTAAGCGAAGTTGTCAATCACAATAGCTGTGTATATGTAAACTAGATGACCTTGAGCTGTGCTAGAATTCCACAATTTCGGACATTTTAGCATTTCTACCCAGATTTGTAGTATCAATATTAAGTACACTTATGTGATCCGAAAGTGCTTAATTTCAAAGCGGTGGTTACGTAACAGGAATGCAGATATGAGTAAATATAATCACTAAAATATGTTTCTAAGAAATTTCCTTGAAATCCCATTAGTGATATGAAGGAAACGTTATTTGGACAGCATATTCTACATAACTTTAAACGGTATATTTAAGCATCAACTTACATATAGTTTATCTTGGTCTGGAATTATACGTTCATTAACCAGATGTCGTCCAATTTCTGATAACATATGATTATACAAATCTTGCAAACTTTTCTCAGGAGAGGCTACAGAAGCGCAAGATTTTTGAATTTCAAGAAGTATCTCGTGTACAATTTTCTGAGTTGGTGAGAAATAACCTAGTAAATAATCATATTCAAATGGTGATTCACAAGCGGTATTAATTAATTTGTACAATCTGTTTTCCAAATTCGATGAGATTAAAAATACTATCCATGAAAGGACAATTTTCAATGATATTTTACCAAAACTTCCATCATTACATGTAAATGAATAAAAGTGCGGTATAGTAGAAATCGTATTCCGAAAGCCGTGAGGGACAATAATGATAGCATATACTACGGACTGGTAAGAGCAGTTGGAAGCAACTCAGGTTAATGAGTAGATTTTTCGGCAATGTCAAAAGTGATCTGTGTGTGGGACGGTTAACTCACTTCTTTCTTTTTATTACAGCTAGATTCCACACCGTACTTTTGGTACAAGTATGGAGTTTTCAGCATGTGATATCGGTAGCCCAAATTTCGCAGGCCGATCATAGATATCAGTTGTGCGCCGGCAGGGGATCGAACCTCGGACCATGTGCATAGTCGGTGAGAGTCCTAACCACTGTACCACCGACCTAATTCAACAACGGTGTACTCCGCTAACTGGTAACATAATTAAGTTTCTTTATTTGAAAATCAGACAGTCCAAGGAGAAATTTTACTATAGCCTCCTTCCGAAACCGAAATTATTTATACCCTAACATATGACTTGCATAACACTGTAAACAGTACTTGGAAAACGAGTGAAGTATTAACACAATACATGCTACTAATCCACACGAGTGGCTGAAACTATCTACACCGCAATCTGAATATTTCAGATTTCCAAAAAAACATGGGTGAAATTTTATTCTCAACTGATCGGTCTGGTCCATTTCTAAACGACTACTGATAAGATATTCTGACTAATACCTACTCCTCGCCAAGCATAACAAAATAAACTCAGGTTTTATGCACTATCGGCGGATGACAGATAGAAGAGCAACCGGATATGGAGTTTCCCTCCAAACTATTACAATACCCAATGAACCATATCCGACAAACTCCCGCCCAGAAGGTAACAAGATTTTAAAGTCTTTGCATGTCTATCCACCAAAGTTTTTGGATATGAGAAATTTAGTTAGATGACTGACAGCATTTGATACAGCTTTCTTTGGGGTAGATGGTTGAGTCGTAAAGTTTTTAGTGTTATTTTCATGTAAATCATCTACCGGGACTACTGAGGTTCGCACTGATATCGTTCAGAATGATAATGCGTTCGTCATTACTAAATCATCCAGCTCAGCATCATAAAATTACGACTAGGCTTTTTATCTCATATATTCAAACCGTAAAAATATCTGAACACATATTCTACATTAATACAATAAAATAATCAAATTAAATAAATACGCTGATCAGTTAACTTGCTTACCATTAACTGGCCAAGTTCTAGTGATGTCGGATGTGTATCCATTTACACGACAGCCAGCATCCACCAAGATAAGCTCTCCATCTCTGATTTCAGAATTGTTTCTCATGTAATGGATAATATTTGTTCGATAACCTCCAGCAACAACAGGTGGATATCCGACAGAACAACCTCGACTGCGCATTTGATATTCAATGTGACTTTGCAAAGAAGTTTCCGTTATTCCTGGTTTCGTGATTTGCATAGCAGATTCCAACGATTCGATAGCTGCGACAACTGCCAGTTTCATCTGCCTAATTTCATAGTTTGACTTTTTGAAACGAAGATTATCGATAATATACTCTGGATTTTCAAAACTAACGTTTTTGTTGTTTATCTCTTTTAAAAACTTTGAAATGTTTCCTAAGACAAATTTATTTTGAGGACGCTCAAAAGGTTCGTCAGATGATAACGGACTGTACCAAACACAAAGCGATGATGAGGATGCAACTTGGTGGTGCAGGAAACTACGTAAGTCGTATAAAGGATAGCAATGTTTGATCCCAGTCAATGAAGATGCCTCTGACAATGTTAAAGTTGGACCATTCCAGATCTCTGCATGCTTATTATGCATTTCAAGAAACAGATGAGTTGACCAACAAGCATCGTTTTCGTTTCCTTCAGTTTCATTTTTACAAACCAAAAATATTCCATTTGGTTCATTCAGTCCCGTGAAGTAGAAAAAATTGGAGTCCTGGTGGAATGGATATGGAACATGATACGCCATATACTGTATCTCCGATGCTGGTATGATAACTAAATGATAACATGACTTCTTTGGCGACTGCTTTACAAAGGTATCGAGGTTATCTATAAAACTTCTGTGTCGGTTTTTCAACTCTGAAAGAGGCACGGAAGTATTAACTGTTGAATAAGCTGATGAAGTGCATAAGCGTGTAATAAATTTGAATTGTGAAAACCGTAATTTAGACATTTTCGTAAGAATATAAACCATTGCGTGATGTACCGCAAACGCAAATTAAGGCTATAAAGTTAAACAAAAATAATAAAATTGACTATGGAAGCTTATAAGAAACCAGTGGAGAACACCACTTATGATGAAGTAATATATCTAGTCCAGTTTGCCCTAACACATGCAAACACTTTATGTAAGAAATTTTCCGCTGATAAGGCTAAAACTAAGTCTACTTTGTAGCATCCATTTTTATAGGAGACTAAGGTTAGTTACACAGACAAGCGTGAATGTTTTGCGATAAATTTCAGATATTTTCGATAAATATTTGGAGTCAGACAAAAGTGCAGTTCACTCCCTTAGATCCAGTTTTGTATCTAATGACAAAATACATGGGGGTTTAAATTTTGACTTTGCGTAAGTGTCCATTTTTCCTGTAGCATGCAGCTCATGGCGCTGTGAGCAAAATACCTGGTTACAAAGAAAGAGTGACACTGAAATTTTCCTCATAGTGTGAGAATCAAATTTATGTGACTCATCTGTTCGGTACAGACTTCAAATTTACCAAGTTATGGGCTTATGATACCCACCTTTGGCAGTCAAAGTAGGTGGGAATTTATCCCAGCTGTGAATTAATTTTCTGAGAATTTAGTGCTGAAGATAATACGTCACGCTCCCATTTTAAGACGCACCGCTACACCTGTTTACCTAGACTTACAAACCAAGAAGCTGATAATGTAATGACATTCACTCAGTTCGAATCTCAAAACATCTCACCCTTCAAGTACATTCGACAACTGATTCATGGTATTTTTATAATAAGGTGTTGAAATTTTCGACGTCCTACGACCTTACAAAGTTAGCTTTTAAGAACTCGCTGACATAATTTGCTCTTATAATCGTTGGTTATTTACACTTGTTTTCACATAGAACTTCAATTCAAGGCGAGTTCTTTTAAAACGAGTGCTTTATGAGACACACCATTTCTGAAGGTGGATTCGATAATGCTGGTAAGAAACAAAAAACTGTCTTCATCTAAAAAAGGATATATAAAATGACTGAATTTTTATATGACTTAATTCTAGTTTGACTGACTGACTGCTTTCAACCTAGAACTTTGCACCGATGTATAGCATTTCGAGTTGCTACCCTCCCTTCATGTAGCACACAAAGCAAGAGAAGACAGATAAACAGAAATATAAAGCAACAAGAATAGGAGTTTGGGGGAACAATAAAATTTTATTGGATATCATAAATCACAAAGAGTGAATGCATCTGCGTCACTGAGAACGACTTTGAGTCATATCACCAACTGTCTCTGGTTTCTGTCATCTCAAGGAACCCAACCAAGAAGTATACACCTTACTGCATGGCTTAAACTAACAGTTGTGGATTTCATTGACTGATGCCTTCATGCCAAATAAGCCTCCTGTATCTGTACTGAGATTACGTCAGCGATCAACTCGTTGGCTGATGCAACTCCCTAAATAAGTGAGGTGGTCATCATGCTCTACCACTTCACTCTACATCTTCAAGCCAGGAGTCAATGCAATCCAGTCCTGTAGCATAATCATAAATTTGACTGCAGCGAATCGCATGTCAAACATTCGGAGATTGCTGCTCGAAGTTTTCAGCAGATTCTGCATTTTGTCAGCGTCTTCACCTAGAAGGACTATATCATCTGCCTATTCTAAGTCGACAAGATTACACCCTGGCAACAATTCCATCCCTGAGTCGCTAAAGTCAGTTAGGGTTAAGTTCATTAGTAAATATATGACGAAATGTCCAGTCTACTAAAATCTTATGACTATACTACATTTATATGTACAACAGCAACATTGCGACATCACATGTACTAAAAATACTAACCAGGTAAACATCTGGAATGTATTTTTTGTATATCAGTATCGTTGATTTGATGAGAGTAACAAATGGCCTAAATCAAATCAAATACAACTCGGGAGTGTTGGACCTGTCAAGTAATAAAATAAGACACTGATAATTTCATTTCATTGAAATAAGTCAGAATACTACAAACAACATACAAAAAGAATACGATTAAAGCCGATTAAGAAGTTTAATACATATATCTTAACAGAATGCCTAAGGAAACTAGACAACAGAAGCATCTAGTAACTTACATAACTGTACTATTAAGGTTAGTTGTTGTTTTGGTTAACTTTCTATCTGTTAAACAGAAAGGGGAGATTCTTATTTCATCACACAAGACATTCTACATAGTTAAACAGGGAGTGTGAATTGTTTAAACTTATAAACACGGTGGAATTATACCATACAACTGCAAATGAGCGAAAGGGTGAAATTTTGAAGTCATGACTGTTCTCTTCTCTCGCATTAGCTTTACATGCTAACAGCCACTTATATTTGAAAACATAGTGTTAGTAATGTGTGTGCGTCGGTGGCACAGTGGTTAGGACTCTCGACGACCATGCACATGGTCCGGGGTTCGAGCCCACACCAGATATCTATGGTCGGCCTGCGAAATTTGGGCTACCAATATCCACGCTGAAAATTCCATACTTGTGCCAAAAATACAGTGTGGAATCAAGCTGTTACCAAAAATTAAAAAAATAAAAAAATAACAGTAACCAAAATGTTTAAAGACTTGTTACAGCAAGAATGTTTTTAAACATTAGTATGTACTCCATCTGTGTTAAGTATGCCAAGCCATCGCCTCCCTCGACGAGCTATGTTAGCGGATATAGGGTCAGGCTGGAAAAAAGCTGGCGGCGGTCAAACAAAAACTTGGCATCAATCAATGAAATCCACAACAGTTGGTCTAAGCCACGTAGGAAGGTGTAGACTTCCAGGCTGGGGTCCTCGGGACGGTAAAAATCTATGGTTGGAAACAATTGGTGACATGGCTCAAAATCGTTCTCAGTAGCTGGCGCCGATGCATCCACTCCTTGTGACTTATGATCTCCAATGAAACTGTTTTGTTTTTCCTTTTTACTCCTTTGTCTCACACCTCTGCTCACTGTTTCTATTATGCTTTTCTTGTACTTTCTTCTCTTGCTTCGCGTGCTACACGGAGTGTGGCGACTTAAACTTCCGCACATTTGTGCAAATTTCTATGTCGAAAACAGACAGACAGACAGACTCCATCTGAAGATAGTGACACTGACGACTAGTTCGAATGCATCAAATTCTGCAAGCAACCAAGAGAGCTGAAAGAAGAATGTGTCCTGACTGATATTATACAAAGCTTGACGACCACTTGCCATTTGTATAAGGCTAGAACTTAGTGATCAGCTCTTTGGAATTCCGCTACTTTTAAAATGACTTTAAATTTAGCTAATCTACTTTGGTTTGATTACCCATTTGGCATGTAGAGGCCTTACACACTCAGAAACGCATAAGTCCAATATGAAACAACTTGACGTGACAGCACGGTAAACGCCTTATCTAAAAATGACCAGCCATTCTGAGAAAGTCTTCAAAAAATAACGAGAAAACAACTTGTCGCATTAGTTTATTTACGCAAAAGAATGATTCGAATCAGTACAGACAATATTTAGTGATCCCAGTATGCATATATCTTGTTCATAAGCATTTTGAAAATGCTACTGTGGTTCCTGTACATATTAATTTGCAAAAATTCTTCGAAACCTAATACATTTTTACAAGTAGTTTGTGGTGCACTATAGTTATTTGTACAATAGTTTAACACACAAATCGAATATGAACCCAGTGGATCTATAGCCTTGTTTTATTTACACGGGTTAGCACATAGAATTTTTTGTTAGCGAAATTTATCATTACAATTCTGGCCCTTCCATTGTGGTTACAGCGGTGATGAGCGTTTGAATAACAGCTAAAGGAAGCAGGCAGATTATTACCTCACTGTTGAAAGTTCGAAGAACTAACTAAACTATTTGACTTTAGACTTTAATTATATCGGCATACTCGCTCATAGTCACATTGAATTATATATGGTTCAGGAGTGTCATTTTTCAATATAGACCTATTGGTTTTCTCCATTGACATGAGATATTGCGAGGAGAGATTCAAGTACACAACACGCGTTAATTCATCTTTTCTTTTTGATACTTCCGTGAAATCTACTCACCAGTGAATCTGAAAATATTAATGTTGCACATAACACCTACTGAGTGATTTAAGCGCTAGTAGTGACCCAAAATTGCAATAACGCTGAAGTTAAGTTCACAAATTTTATACTAAATCTTACTTTCTATGGTGAGTAAATACTGAAATGCCTTGATTTCCCGCATAAAATATGACTCGGTGCTTTTTCTCATTATTACTGGCTCCATTTCTGTATTCGATTATTTCTTCGGAATTACCAATAGTTTGGAGCAGAATGAGTTTGTGTATCCTATCTTCATAATCTGAATCAGCTGAGCTCCTACATACCCGTTTCAGCACTGACCAGCATTATTATAGCATTGTTCACTTAAATTAAGCAACCGGTTCTATTTATTATCGCTTCGAGCACCACTTCAGTACCTACTAATTTCGTTTTAAGCGAACAAAATATTAATTTGCCGTGATATATCATTATTGGCTCATAGATATGAGCCAATAATGAACTAGTTCAGAATTATTGTAGGCTAGCCAACTAGCTTGGGAGGAATTCAGAAAACAAAAGAGCCTATAGGCCGTTATAACGGCCAGCTGCCACTGAGGAAATAGTGGTGTTTACAGTAATGGTCACTCAATGAAAGTACCTGATCCCTGGATTGACACCACTTCTTCAGAGAAGTCCCAGTCGGTTAATGCACATGGGCAAACGTGGGATAAAAGGGTAATTTTGATCGGCAAACACGTGGGCAAAAGATGGTGTAAATGTAACCGATTTTACCCACTTTGGCCACATTTCCCCGTTTTCCCATGTCCAGATAAAATTTGTTTGTCCCGCTTTTTCCCAGTTTTCCCACGTAGCCCACGTTTTCACCCATTTATCCCATGTGCAGGAATTCAAAATATACCCACTTTTTCCCCGTTTGCCCATGTCATTTTAGAAAACAGCCCACTTATTCCCACTTTGCCTATGTTACAAA